AGCAATTCTGCTCAGTTTAACCCTCACTCAGATGCTAGTCCGAAAAGGACAAGCCCAGCCAGAGGGAATAGCCTGTGAAGAAGCCTCAAAGTGTGCTCAGCACCAAGAATTGCAAATAGATTATTACCTTGGGATAGAGGAGAACAGTTTGAGATGAGGCTAGAGTGTTAGGTAGAGGGTTACTTTTGAGGGCCTTAAATCCAAGGAAGGCGTTCTGGTGGCAAAGTGGTGAAGGCGTTTGGTTACTAATCAGAGAGTTGATGGTTTGAACCTACCAGCCCCTCCACAGGAGAAAGACGAGGCAGTCTGGTTCCATAAAGATTTATGACCTTAGGAATCTTATGGAGCAGTTCAGCTCTGTCCTATAGGGTCGCTATGAGTAAAATCTACTCAGTGGCACTGGGTTTGGTTTTGGTTTTTGAATCCAAGGAGCTTGGACTTTATTCTGAGGGCAGGAGTATGATATGACTAAACTGCATTTTACAAAGGCCATTCTGACAGTTCTGTGTGTGATGGAGATGAGAAACCCTGTGGGAGAGTATTTTAATTAGCCTGATAAGAGAGCTGGAAGGCTTGAGGTAAGGTAACCAAGAAAACAAACCAGTTGCCATGAAGTCATTTCCAACTCATGGTGATACCATGTGTGTCAGAGTAGCACTGGGATCCTTGGGGTTCTAGTGGCTGAGTTTCAGAAGTGGCTGGCCACGGCGTTCTTCTGAAGTGCCTCTGGTTGACCTACACCTCCAACCATCAGTACTGCCAGGGGCACCTGAGACAAGGCAGGAAGGGTCACTTGCCAGACTTGGTATCTTGAATCTCCTGAATGGTATGGGAAGAGGTAGGTAGAGATGATGTAGGATTATTTCCACATTTCATGTTAGGGGTGATGGAGCCATTAATCGGATAGAAAATATATACAGGAGGAGGCTGAGCAGATCTGAAGAGGAGGTGATGGAAAAGATTTTTTCAGACGTCTTTTTGAGGTGTCTGTGGAACATACCACCTTATGGAATAAGCTCCCCTTATGATCACTGGAAACAACATGACAGAAGCATGTGGGCTGAGGAGTAAAGAATCCAATTTCTTAGGCTGCCAGTGATAGTTAGCGAGGCCTTGGAACCCTGTTACTTACATTTTTCATCTGTAATGTTTGTAGCATGGTGATTGAAATGTACCTCTTAGGGAAGTTGTTTTAATGGATATTGAGCTAAAGAATAAATAATTGAATATTAGAAGGCATTTGAAAAATTGTAGTAATTAAACATTCTGGGGGCTATAGCAACCGTTTACCAAGATAAATGTTTATATACCCAAGTGAGGTTCCTAAGATCAGTCATTTTAATGGTTTGTGAATAACACTGGCTGAGCTGCATAGGTTGCTCCAGGTGGGCTTTTAGATAAGTTTTTGGTCTTTGTTTTAGGCTTTTCATGACTCACATAAAGTTGTTACTATTACTATTATTATTATTATTATTACTGTGATTTGGGTGAAAATTTACAGAGCAAATTCACTTTCCATACAGCAGTTCACATACACTTTGTCTCATGACATTGACCACAATTCACCACAATGTAACCGCTCCCCTCCCACTTCCTCGCCATAGTTACCTCTTCCCTGTGTCCATCCCTCAATGCCTCTGCCCCCTGAGCTGTCTCCCTGTGCATAAACAGCCGTTCTTTCTCCCATGATTGTTCTTTCCACAGAGTGTATCTACCTCAGGTAAATGTTCAGCTCATATGCTTGTCTTTTGTTTGGCTGGAAGCCACAGATGTGGGTTCAGTTCCAGACCTGAAGGGCAGCTAGGGACCATAGTCTCAGTGGTTCCACCAGGCTCTATCAGACCAGCAAACCTGGTGCCCCCCCCCCCCTTTTTTTTCCAAATTATTTTGAGTTTTGTTCCACATTGTTTTCCCTCTCTATCCAGGATCTCCTACATAGATCCTCCTCTGAGTGGTTGACAGTGGTAGCCAGGCACCATCTAGTTCTTCTGGTCTCATAGTCATATAGGCTGAGGATCGTAGGGTGTACCAGTCGCTAGCACTAATTCTTTCCATGAATCTTTGGAGTTTTTAATTCTTCTTTGCTCTGGACAAGGAGAGACCCATCGTTGCATCTAGATGGCTGTTTGCAGACTTTTAAGATCCCAGTCTGTACTCGCCAAAGTAGGAGGTGGAACAATGTTTTGTGTAGTATGTTATGCCAATTTAGCTTGATGTCCCTTGTGACTGTGGTCCCAAGCCCACAGGTTCAACTACTCGGTCCCTGTGGGTAGCTGGCTGTGACCAACAAGTGACTACAACCTTGTCCTTTGTCAGGTCTACTATACCCCTGGGAATTTAGATTATCCAGATTCACTTGTAGGACCATTGTCTGCCAGCCCTATACATGGTCTTGGGTACACTCCCCACTTCATAGACATAGCTAATAATTCAGCCTGTCCACCCATCTATCCACCCATATACCCATCCATGTTTGCCTTCACTGACAATGCAGTACTGTATGTGCAAAAGGGTTCATCTTTGTTGTCTGTACCTCCCATGTACCTCTCTATGTCTTCCTCTTCCTCATTGATCACTCATATTTGGTACATTGCCCATCTCTTCACCAGTCAATACTTACCTCTACTTATCTAATCACATGGGTTTTTAATATGCTTTTTGCCTTTGAAGAAAACACTTTATGCCAAAACCTCTCAGGCCAAGCATTGTTTTTACTTTCACTGTAAGAAAATAGATACTACCTTAAAAATGTTCACTGAGAATGTATTAGCTAATAAATACAGAAACCAAAACAACTGTAAAATGTTTGTTGGTACTGTGTTGTTTTATGTTCTTCCTTGAGGTGTCTCTGTGAACCCTTTGAGCAGTGTAGGAAACAGTGTCAAGTTTCTGACGATTGTTACGACTCACACATTGTAAGATCTTTCTCCTTTAATCTACTTAATACAGGATCTATTTATTACTGGCCTGGATCCCAGAATACCATCAGAGATAAGGCTATTATCCTTCCATTGAGTATTATCCTGGGAAAGTATTTATAAAATCGAACTCTGTTGTACCTGCTGACCTCCTTCTTTAAATGAAGAAAGGGTGGGGATGGAGATCCTGTTCACTGAATTCAGATGAAAGGGTGTGTTTGACAGCACAGACAGAAAGTGCTTTTGCTGGAGTCTTTTCTATTGTGCAAATCAGTCCCATCTTGGACTTTGGAAGAAATAAGGTCATAACTGAGATCAGGAAGTGTATGATCAGATTGGGTGCTCTGCGGTTATAGACAGAGTTGCTGTTTTTTTCATTAGCAAAAAAAAAAAAAAAATCCCTAGTTATTTCGGGATTAATCTAAAAATATTTACTTGCCGTCGCTGTCATATTTTCTCTAAAATTGCTATAAATAAAGTCTGGTGGGATTACCTTCAAACATGAGAGACCGTTTAGAAGAGTTAAGTATTCCTAGTCATGCTTAATTTATTTTTAAACTTTAGTCGTTAGAATGTAAAATAATGGTCAAAAACTATGTTAAAGACTCCATCTTCTACTGAGTCTATCGAAGTTGAAGAAGCTTGAAGAGCGGTATGCTGTATCTCTTAACAAATATTTTGTGTTGCAAAATTACTTGAATTATCTTTCTATGAAATAGATGCCACATGTGTTTGTGTAAGTATGCTCTTAAGGCTCATACATTTAAACACTTGGACGTTGGTTGCTGGCTTGGGGACAAGCATTACTGAGTTAAATGCTAGTTTGTGATTTTCTGAAAATTCTTTTGATAAGACAAGATATGAATGACATAAATTCACTTGAAATTTTAGTGTTCCAACAAATCAAGCTATGTTCTTTTTATTTTATGTTCCCTTCCACTTCCTTCCCATATGCTCACATGACTTTTCCGTAATGAATTCAATGTCGAAGTCCTTGTTTTCACTTCACATTATATTTTAAGTTTTTTTCCAGAGTGTACAATGTAAAAATATGTGGTCGCTGTAATACAAATGCAAAGTCTTTCTGTGCTTGTATTCTTTCTTTCTTTAATGGTACAAATTTGTAATCGGATACGAGGTTAAATTAGTCAGACATGATCAGTTTGCATAGTGGAGATGTGATGATAAGTGGTAGGACCTCAGCGAAATTACAAGTGGAGGCTGCAGTTCCTCAGTCAGTGAACCTTGCAGGGATCTAGTTGCTATATGGCACAATTAGACAATTAGTAAAATAAGACATATCAAGGATTTGGTAGACTATATCCACTTGGATTATACATGTTATTTCGGTATATATTAATCATATATTCGGGAAAATGCATGGTTGATTGCATAACCCATTTAGGGTTGAATTTAAACCGTTTGAACTATGTGAAGATGGGAATCACTTCAGTCAGTTTATCTACTTTGTCAAAGTGTTCAGTTTATTTCCAGTTAGGAATATTTCCTGCCTCCTTTTAGATGATAAAACAGTAATGTATTATCTGAATGCATAGATGCCATATGTAGTAATTTAAACTACTGAAGAATAGAAAGGAAAGTGTAGGAAAGACAAGCAGTGTGTGTGGTTGAGACGGGCTGAGTAGCCAAAGACATCTGGGTTTCAGTCCCTTACTTACAAGCTGTGTGATCTTGGGCAGCAAGTTATTTACTTGATTTCTTATCCTCTGTACATTGAACTTGCTGATACCTTATGGAGTTATAGGAAATGACATGATGTACATGCAGCATCTTGTACAGGGCTTGACACATGGCTGATACCCCATAAAGGTATTTTTTATACTTATTACCCTTAATATTATTCGTTAAAATTTGTGTATCACAGATTTACTGGAGATGAATTCATTTTAAGTGATAGAGTACTGATAACACAGACTGAATTAGATACTTTCTAATTGTGTAGTGTTTGAAAGTTATGTATCTTAAGTTACTATTAAAATATAAAATAAAATTAAGATGAATCAGTAAGAGAATTTATTCTGACATTGTTCTGCTGCTAACATGTAGCTTTTCTTTGTACAGGCTCAGCACTGTGTAGTTACAGCCTAAAGCCTTCTGAATACACTACATCTCCAAAAGCTTCTTTCCTCTGCCCCAAACTACCGGTTCCAGCGAGGTAAATTTTACTGTAAACTCTGTTAACTTGTGACTTTTTTACTTTGTAAATAAATGTTAAACAATGTATGTTATTCTGAGAAAGTAGTCACTTCACAATACTGGTAGACCAGGTTCACTAGTTTGACAACAGAATTTTAAAAGTAGCAAAAGAAATAATAACATGCAATTCCTATGGTTTAAAAAAAGAAAACACCTAGGCAAACAACTTTTCTCATTCTCAGATATCTTAAATTTTGGGGGGGCCTCACATTTATTTGTTTATTTTTAATTTTGATGTCACAATTTTTTTTAGTAGTGCTGAAAACTCTGCAGCAAATTCAGAAGCCAAGCCTCACCGTCTCCAGAGATATTTTGAAGTTGATCTTAGTCAAACTCATTGGGATTGCTTATTAATTTACCTTAGAAGCTTAAAAAGCATTGTAGTAGTGATTGTTCATAGTCTTTCAGGTTATATCCTTTAGATACATTTTCTGTATCAGGCCATTTGTTGTATCTTATCCAAGGTCCTAGTCAACAAATGTATTATTAAACAATTACTTTGTGTTAACGAGTACAAAGTTGAAACAAGGTATGTTCTCACAGTAGTTACAACTAATGCAAATTTAAAAATTATAAGTAGATTTTTAAAAAGTAAATGCATTCTCAAACATTGTAGAATATATCCTCAGAGCTCTGGTGGCTAGTGCCTAAGGCATTTGACTGCTAACCAGAAGGCTGACGGTTGAAACCTACCAGCCACTCCTCGGCTGGAAGGAAGGTTAAGCAATCTACTTCTGTAGTGATACAGCTTCAGAAACCCAAGGAGTGGTCGCTATGAGTCGGGTCCGACTCGACGGCACATAACAACAGCATCCTCAAAGTTAAAATGTGTACACTTTGGGGCACGGCTGTTCTTGACAGCCTTAGCGTGTATTGCTTACTATGTGTGGCCTGAGTCATCTTCTCCAGGAGAACTGAGTCATTTTAGCAAGCTGCTGGGTGAAACATTTTGAGAAGCTCGCAACTACTGTCCTTTGCATTGCTTATGGATGTAACGTGTGCTTTGTTAGCTTGAACCTAAAGTTTTCTGTAGAAGGAGGACAGAGCTGTTAAGTGGATCTCCAGTTCTTCTAGTCTTTGTCAAGCTGTTAATGAAAATGGAAACTTAAAGCATATAGACGTAGAAATAAAGGGACTATTTTAAAAGATGTTAATCAAGAGAAACCTACAAATTATAGCCTTAGACCAGCAGGTAAGGAGAGTACATTCGTGAAAACTGAGAACATCTGGGATGATGTGACAGTAGGAAAGGAAGTACTTTGAATCGTCATTGGAGAAAGATGATCAATTATAGAAACAAGTGAAGTTCTGTGCCTTATCTACACACTAATACCCATTCAAAATGCTCTGTATTTTGAGTATAGAGTCACTCTTTCAAGGCCAAAAACATATAAAAAGATAACCAAAAAGCCTTCATGTAAGAATGAGGTTGTTATGAGACTGTATAATACTGAAGGGGGTGGAGCAGGGAAGGGAGGGTGGTTTCGAACCATAGATCCTCCCTGGCCTATGACTCCACATGAAAGACTGTCTGCCCCAGGTTGTCTTGGGTGTTCCAGCTTGGGCTGCACGCACACACATACATATCTCACATATAGCAGCCTACAGCATTCACTTAGAGAACAAGGCATAGTATTAGCGATGTGGGCTTTAGAGATGAAAGACCTTCTAACAAGGTAGTCTGATAACACGTAAATTCAGTATGCAAGCTGAACTGATACCATCTGGAAACCAACACTCTATACACTTTAAAACTATCTTCATGTTTTACTTAGTTTAGAGCCTCACAATCTAAGTATCCCACTCCTTTTGTCTGAACTAAACCTGTTGGGAAGAAACAGCTGACAGAAGGAAGGCAGATCAGGGCCTTGGAGATACCAGAGAACAAGAGTAAATGTGTTTCAATGAAGTCTTTGGGCCCAGTCCCATTCCACACATTGCACTAGACACCAGGGCTCCAAAGATGAGTAAGACCTGGACTCTACCCTTAAGAAACTCATAGTCTGGAAGGGACTATTTTATGGTAGCTTTTTTTTTTTTTTCCCCAAATTCACCAAAAGACTAGCACTAGACAAAATATAGTGGCCTCTGATGTCTTTCACATCTCTTTTGCTGTCTTCTTAGGGGTACCCTATGGGACCAAAAGAGTGTGCACTTTGAGTTCAGATAGACCTGGGGTGAATTCTGCGTCTGTTGTCATCTAGAACCAAGTCTCTCAACTTCTTGATAAATGGAGTTTCCTCATCTGTAAAATAGGAATAATAACACTTTCCCCATGGAATTGTAAGAATTAAATTAGATAATGTGTGTAGGGGAGCTCTGGTAGCATAGTGGCTAAGACACTTGCCTGCTAACCAGACGGCTGGCGGTTCAAACCCACCAGCCACTCCTCGGAAGGAAGGTTGGGCAATCCTACTTCTGTAGTGATACTGCCTCAGAAACCCAAGGAGGGGTCACTATGAGTCGGGGCCGACTCGACGGCACATAACAACAACAACAACAACAATGTGTGTATAAGATTCATTATTGTTCTTGGCCCTTGGCTTATTTCTGTCAATTTAAAGAGCCTTCTCCTTTCCTCAAGGAGCTCTGGTAGCATTGTGGTTAAAGCATTGGGCTGCTAACCAAAGGTTGGTTGTTCAAACTCACCAGGTTCTCTGTGGCAGAAAGATGTGGCAGACTGTTTCTGAAAAGATTACAGCCTTGGAAACCCTATGAGGCAGTTCTACTCTGTCCTATAAGGTTGCTGTGAGTCAGGAATGACTCAATGGCAGTGGGTTTTCCTTCCCTCCAACCTTCCTGGGCACCTGAGGACCTCCTGTGGCTAAAAGCAATACCTGTTTTAGAGGAAAGTTGTCATAATCTACTTTTCAGTAAAATGCTAGTGATACCTAATAGCCATACAGTTTATATTCTTAGGAGCTTTTGAATTTTAAAACCAAATGCCTAGAAAGAGCAGCATTTATAATGAAATGCATACCTGTTCATTGGTGAACTGCTAAGCATGACAGAACAGGGGAATAGCTAGCCCATATCTTATAGTGGAGGGAGTTCTGGTGGTGGTGTAGTGAAGGCATTGGGCTGCTAACCAAAAGATTGTCAATTCGAAGTCACCAGCTGCTATGCGGGAGAAAGTTGAGGCAGTCTTCTTACATAAAGATTTACAGCTTTGGAAACCCCATGAGGGTTGCAAGGAGCTCTGGTAGTGTAGTGCCTAAGGCATTTGACTGCTAACCAGAAGGCTGGTGGTTCAAACCCACCAGCGACTCCTTGGAAGGAGGATTGGGCAATCTACTTCTGTAGTGATACCGTCTCAGACACCCAAGGAGGGGTCGACTATGAGTCAGATCCACCTGGATGGCAGTGAGTATGAGGGTTGCTATGAGTCAGAATTGACTTGATGGCAGCAGGGTGATTTTTTTCCATATCTTCCAATGGTGACACTTACATACACCCAGAGGAGCAGTAAGAGTGGAGGCAGATTACATATATCCAGTTTATTCATAACACATTTAGTTGAGCACCTTAGATGCCAGAAAGAACGGGTTCCAGGGAATTAATGACAATATGGGGCAAGAAACTAGCAGCCAAGAAAAAAATGTTATCTACTCATATTTTTAAAATTGGAGGATTCAAGATAAATTAACATTTCTAAACCATTTGCTGCATACCAGTCACCATACTACATTTTTAATAGGTATTATCTAACTTAATCCTCACAACAACCTGTAATGATATTATTATTCCTAATTTGTAGATGAGGGAATAGAAAGTAAGACATTAAATGAGTTACCCAAGGCCACACAAATTGTTGGGAATCAGAATTTGAATCCAGCATCTTATAGAGTCTCTAAACCATACTTAGCTCTTTAAGAAAAAGAAAAGAAAAGAACGAGAGAGAAAAAAAGCAAGGGAAATTGCTCTGCTGCCCTTAGCCTGTTGGCTCAGATATTTCCTGCCTTTAGTGTGCTGCAGATCTGTTACCATAACCCTTTATTGTTGGTACTGCTTATTTACAACCTCAAGTTACAGTGTAATTGTGTGAGATGGAAATTCCTGCCTTCTCTCCCGTGAAGGTGTATGGACAAGAGATACTAGATACCGTCCTTTAGGGAGGTCATTAATTAACTGTGGTAACTGGACTTAAGGCCAATGGACAGTATGTTTGCCAAGATAAGATACGATTTTCCTTTGAACAGCTGATTTTAGACATCTTTAAAGGACTCATTATGAATTCATTTTGTTCTTGTTGACTAGTGTTTCAGTAATGTGAAACAGCATCAGGCTTTGAATGGGACTCCATTGACTTCTTAAAGACTCAATATTCTGTGGGCTTCAAAATGTATAAAAGCATAGTATTAATAGCGTTCTTTATCCTTGGCCCTTAATTAAGAAGCACAGAATGTGTTCATTTAGGTCAGACTGAAGTAGAACTGATCTCATCTGCCAGGTTCTCAGAAGTATTATTTTCTCAAAGAGGGATCTAAAACCAGTTAACTCATCTCATTTAAAACTCATTCAACCACATGGGATTTAAATGATAAAATATAAGATAGACCATTGGAATGCATGATTACTTAGGTTTTTCTTTTTAGTAGGAAAATAATCGCAGTGTCAGTAAAAACCATGGTTGATTGGACTGTTTGTTTGGGAGAAGTATTGATGAGAAAAGAAATGACAGAATAATCTAGTGCTTTTGATTTTAAACTAGGTATTTCATTTCACTTTTTAAATGTCCGAATGTTATCTCCTCTTTTAGATTTGCCTGCTGTTTCTGTTAGTCATTACCATAGGAGCAGATTGACCATCAGCTAGACCATGCAGTTAATCAGCTTGTGTTAATTTTAACCTTCTGATTGAGAGCCGTCAGGTTTTTAACTGACATAGATTAAATTATAGGGAGAGGGACTGTTATTTGCTCCAGTTCTTGGAAGGACACTTTTAAAACCACTCTTTTTGTTCTACCAAATGTTCGTATATAGTCTGAAAATGACTTGGAAGGGGAGGTTGAGAGCAGCTATTACTTAGAATTTTGCCCTAAAGAAAAATAAATCATTAGAATTTTGAGGAAGGATTTTTAATCCTTCCCTTTCTTCATTCTAAGGAGCTCTGGTGGTGAAAGCATTTGACTGCTAACCAGAAGGTTGGGGGTTCAAACCCACCAGCCACTCTGTGGAAGGAAGACTGAACAATCTGCTTCTGTGAAGATTTACTGCCTCGGGAACCCAAAGAGGGTTGCTGTGAGTCAGAATTGGCTCAATGGCAGAGTTTGGGTTTTTTTTTTTTTTTTTTAATCCACATTGTAAGCCTGAAAAACAGAAAAACGCTAAAGATACTGTGATGCTGCCCCTGTGTAATTTAGAATCATTGATTTATAAGTGAGATCTTTTTTATTATTGCCAAGATACGAAGAGATTCACGGGTTAATTGTCCTTCTACTCTTTCAGTGACAGATGGAGAAACTGAGGTAGAAAGGGGGCATGGCACGCGGCTATGCAGTGGGAGGATCACCCGGGACTTCGGACCCCACGTTGCTTTTCTTTCCCTTTATCACAGGCTCTACTTGCTTTTAGAAAGGACATTTCCCTTTGAGTATAAAAATATACCAGCTTCCTGTTAGGATAGGAGAGATGTGGGTGGCATCTCTGTGGACAGAGGATAAAGTTCACCACCCATTACATGACAGAGGAGAGGAAAGAGAAGAGAAGAACATTGGAAGAACAGGGCCAAGAAATTGGTGGGTGTTAGAAACAAGAATAAGATACCAGTATCCTTAGAATGGATATATTTTATGTTCAAGCCTGGAGTCAAGTGAGTTAAAAGAGATGATAGAATAATGAATAAAGAGAAGGGAGGTATAGCTAATCCTGGACCAGAGAGGACTTCAGTTCTGAAGGATGGAGAACCAGGCTTTAGTTATAAATAGGATTAGAAAAGTCCTAAGTCAGGGACATTAACCTGGCAGGGACAGTGTCTAGACAGCATCAGGAGAGAAACAGTTTGTAGGTTACCCCAAAGTTGTCAGTTCTAAGGTTTCTGTCCCAAATCAGCCTCCATTGAGTTAGGAACTCAGAGTTAATCTTTTTTGACTCTTGTGATATTTCTAACCAGAGCTACTTGTACTGATAGTATCCTATTAATTTATCTTTTGTCTGCCTGTAATTCAAACATTACCCAGAACGCTCTGACTTTCTGCCATTTCTGATAAAATACTGAATCTGGTGACATTAACTTTGGTGACACTGTTTTGGAGGACTACACAAGCACACACACAGGTGCACCCAAAGGCAAACCTTTTAATACATACTCATGTCATATTGTCACATCACCTTTTTGGACGTATTTTACTGAAGCATAACTGAGGTAAGGCTACACCTTTAAAATACATGATTTTATTGTACCATGAAGTAGAGCAGCATAGAAACACTGCTTATTATTACTCCCAGTGGTGCTCATTCACAGACATGCAAGAAAAAAACTATTCTTAGTTGAAAAGAAATAGTGCTTTTTGAGGAAGGAGACAAAGATAGTGTTTTGCTTCAGGTCATCCAGACTCTCTTTGCTGAGCTTGGAAACCTGGGAATTTGATGTCCCACCATATACTCTTTTGTACTTACTGGATCAAAATACGGTGGCAACCAGTAATGAGAAGAGAGTTGTATCATTTAGTCGAAAATGCTGTTAGAGCTGTGACTGATAGTCTTACAAACAATTCCGAAAATACAGGATTCTTGTTAGTGATGGTTACGCTTTAACTTAATGTGCATGTGAGTGTATATAGCACACACATGTGGGCTTGCTTGAAACCCAAACACATCACATTGAAGGCATAGTTACAGTTCCATGTTTAAAAATCTTTCATTGATGAGATATCTTCTCAGAAGTTGAATGTCTAACAAACCTGATTTATGTCACAGTTCACATACAGTAATATCTCTTCACAAGTAAAAGATATAGTCAATAAAAACCTGATAGGGCCAGTTACATAACTGATTATTTTTATCTTATTTCTTTTGACTCAAACAATCTTGTAGTACTAATAACATATGGGAAAACAGTCCAGAAATCCGTGTCCCTAGCAAATTAGATACTTTTCACTTTTTTTTTTTATATATGTTCTTTTCTATTCTCATTCATACATAATACATTTTTCTTGTGGAGGTGTAATCATCACACTAGATTTAAATTTTTGTTCCTTTATTTCCTTGTACTATTATGTTATAAGGAGCTATGGTGGTACAGTGCCTAAGGTATTTGACCGCTAACCAGAAGGCTGGCAGTTCAAACCCACCAGCCACTCCTCAGAAGGAAGGTTGGGCAATCTACTTCCATAGTGATATCACCTCGGAAACCCGAGGAGGGGTTGCTGTGAGTTGGGTCCTACTCAACAGCAGTGAGTTCATTATGTCGTGTTTCCAGACCGATAGATTCGTATTCTTGGTTATTGTTTTTAAATAGCTGCATACAAATGCTGTATGGTGATGTCTCAGCATGACACACATGTAGGAGAAATACTCAGTTCATGCCCTAAACACCTTGACTCTTAGGTTTTGTGTACTGTTCTCATAGAGGAAGTACTCTAGTAACGGTGGCACATTTCAAGCCAAAGCATGTCTGTTTTTTATTTTTAAATTGCTTATGGCAAAAAGTCATTTTCCATTCAATAAAGTATATGTTTGTAAGTTTTGTCATCTGCCCCTTGATTGATAGATGTGTAGGCTGAGGAGTTTAAGTGTTTGGTTTTGCTTTCATTGGTTTTATGTATGTGTGTGTGTGCATGTGTGCGTGTTGTGTGTGTGCTCAGAAGGGGAGGGCAATGTCTTCTGTTGGAACATGCACTCCACCCTCTTGGTAAGGCTTGTGGGAAGGTTTGCATCACTGCCCATTACCGTCATCTTCATAGCAGTTGACTCACAGCTCTTAGCTCCCATAACGATGTGTGGAGGGTGGAGTGTATTGCAGCCATATTCACCTCTCATTTGTGTGTTTGATGTGGCATTTATACTAAGTAGGAGTAATTTTTTTTCTGATTTTTTTTTCTTGTGTCACCAGTGCACCTATTCCATTCTTCCATCGCTGTGCTCCTGTGAACATTTCCTGCTATGCCAAGTTTGCAGAGGCCCTGATCACCTTTGTCAGTGACAATAGTGTCTTACACAGGCTGATTAGTGGAGTAATGACCAGCAAAGAAATTATATTGGGACTTTGCTTGTTATCACTAGGTAATTGTTTTTCTCATTATTAGCTATTGCATAGTACTGCAGCAAAAGACTGTTCTGTCTTTAGCCAAAATATGCATACAACTGGGAATACTTGTAAAATGTCTAACTTCCCAAAGTCAAAATCACCGTTTCAGATTATATAGTTATAAATGTGTGCATATATAAGTATATATATCTGAAACTCATTTCCCTTCTTTTGCTTTCCTTGGAGAAAACTGGGTGTTTTCCCAAACTTTGGTAACAAAGTCTACCTATGACCTACTTTAATATGATAGCTAGAGGCTTTGAATGAATCAACAGCCTTCTGCTTTTAGTTATTCCAAAGGACATATTTGCTTATAAAAGAGACTATATATTTTCTTATAATTCCCATCTAAGAACATAGATTTCTGAGAGATGACATTTGAAGGATGTACTTTTTCCCCCCCCCCCATTGCTACAGTTCATTGTATCACTCTATTGCTGGAAAATTAGGAAAAATCCACTTTGTTAGCCATTGAATTTTCAGGTCAACAAACAGATAAAACTTCAGTTTTGAGAAGTAAACTCCCTGTATCATCCTAGAACGGTATGTAGCCATATCAGAATTTATAGACCTTCTTAGTTGGGAGAAGTAAACTGTGCTGAGGACCCAGCACCTATTTTATTAAATGAAATGAGTGTTTATGCCGATTGATAGCAGTGACACTCAGTGAGGAGACTGAAGCTGCGTCTCTGTCTTCCTGGCATCAGAGGGCATTTTCTTCTGCTTCAGTAGTGCTTGACTCAGTTGAAATAATGCTTCCATAGGAAAATCTTTCTGTGATATTTGAAAGGCTCCCCTCTGTTTTTGGTTCCTGTACATTTATTGCAAAAGTGAGCACCTTAATAATGCCACCTCGACACAGTCTCAGTCATGTATTTGACTTTGCAAATGGCCCAGAGGTTTTTGACTATTAGTCTAGCTTTATATAAAAATTATTTGGTTTCTGAAATAGCTGAACACTGTAACCAAAAAAACTCCCAACCTTAAAAGTAGTGATAGTAATGTAGTCAGGCCATTGGTTTTCCAATTTCTTAATTAGAATGGTCTCTTTAGAGCCTTAAGAATGTAATATAAACCCAAAAGATCCTTGTTTATTTGTTTGTGAAATGGGCCTTTAGATAATTAAAAATGAGCAAATTATGATTTCAGAAATGTATTTCCTCATGCCAGGGGTAAGCTCCTCCTCCTTTTCTTTTGCTTGGAGATTTTCACTCTTAGCATATTGACATTTAGCTTGGGATAGGTAGAGGAGTTACCTAAATTAACTCAAACTAAGCTTCACTCCTTTGTAAAGGAAGGGGTTTCAGTCAGGAGCCCTGGCCCCACTTGAGAAATTCAGAGGAATTTTGGCCTCAGTGAGTTTTAGGATCTTAATCCATAGTGTCAGGCCATCCCTTGGTGTTCTAGTAGAGAAACAACCAGAAAAGAGATAGAAAGCCATCTAGTTTGTGGGCTCCTGGAATGCGTAGATCACTTGGGGAAGTATAGCACCTAATTGAATTGCCCTCTGTCTACCTGTGAGATTTTTCTGTCACCACCATGACATGTCATTATCTACACTTTGTGTGTGGGCATGTGTGTTTGCATGTTAGTGCTGCTGTCTCTCATGGTGGATCCACAACAGTCCTGTGCTGTGTTTGAGTCACCGTGTGCATTTGCATGGATTCTTTTCAGTCAATTTATAGACCCACACAGTTAGATGTCTTTGGTTTCGAGTGATGCTGTTCAAGTGGTACGATGAGCAAAGTCAAAATGCAAAAGCAACCAGTTTCTTTTCATACCTAAATTGTGGTCATGAACTACCCAATGACAACGAATTATTTCCCTGGGGAAAAACAGTGGAAAGTGGTTTTCTTTGTGTTTTCCTGTGTCTACATAATATTCTCTGTGTTCTCTGTTTATCCTCCCTGCAGTTCTGTCCATGATTTTGATGGTGATAATCAGGTACATATCAAGAGTACTTGTCTGGATCTTAACAATTCTGCTCATACTGGGCTCACTTGGTAAGTTGCTTATTTCTTTGTTTTTTCAGTAATTAGAATGGAAAGTTAATGTTAGCTTTTAATACTACCTCAGTTCAGAACTACTTTGATTATCTTAAGTGCTTTTTCTTTTAGAAGACTTGTGAATTACCTTTCTGAAACTGTAAAAAGACTGGGAAGTACGTTACATTGGAGTTATGTAGTTTGCTGTGAGATCACTGAACCAAACCAAACTCTCTACTGTCGAGTCAGTTCAGACTCATACCAACCCCCTTTGGGCTTCTGAGATATTAAATCCTCATGGAAGTAGATTGCCCCATCTTCCTTCTGCAGAGTAGCTGGTGTGTTTGAACCACCAGCCTTCTGGTTAGCAGTCAAATGGCTTAGGCACGATGCCACCAGACCTCCACATCAAGTAAAATGAGCAGCTCTTGGCATTTGGAATAAAAGCTAGTGGAGATATTTTTCAGTGGCGCTCTGGTGGTGTAGTGCCTAAGGCATTTGACTAATAACCAGAAGGCTGGAGGTTCAAACCCATGATCCACTCCTTGGAAGGAAAGTTGGGCAATCTACTTGCGTAGAGAAACCTCCTCAGAAACTCAAGGAGGGGTCGCTATGAGTCAAATCATCTTGACAGCAGTGAGTTTGGGGTTTTTTTTTTTTTTTTTGGTTTACCTTATTTTTCTGTCAGTATCAGTTCTGGAGGAAGAGCTCTAGAGAAAATAAAACAGTTGAGGCTCTGTTCTGCTTCTTTCTGCTCTTGATTTTGGCTCGATTCTTCCAGTGCTGCCAGCTTGGCAACTAACTAAAGGGACCCTTGCCTGTAATCTTGCCCTTTTTAAAGCCTGAGTCATCATTGTAAGTTGTCGATGTTTTTTTTGATTGAAAACTTTTTTGTATGATAATTACATGTATGTGTTTAAAAATTATCCATT